TCATTCAGGGGGTGGGCACAGATTTGTATCCATTGTCCCATTAAGTCCTCCCAACATAAGGTAGGGCTATGACTTCATTTACAGATGAAACATTTAGGCTTAAGGAGACTGAATAACTGGGTGGAGGAAGCACATCAGCCAGGACCTAGCAGGAAGCAGTGTCCCCCCAAAAGTGTTTAGCTAAAGAGAAGTTAAAGAAGGATGTTTATAGATCTGTAGATGTGGTTCGGAGAATGAGCAAGGGGCGGTGAATGAATTTTCCACAAGCTTCTCTACCTGTGTTGAAGATGGAGGACTTCACATTAGGTTTCGATGTTGGCCCTCAGGGGAAGGTGATGATTATAATAATAGTAATAATAATATATTCAGGGTGCTTAAAGTGCGCTGGGCACTGTGAAGAGTTTTTTTCTTTCTTTTTTTTTTTTTTTTTATGTGCTTTATCCTGAAGAAGCCAAAGCTGTACCGAGAGAAGTGGCGAAAAACAAGGCTCAAGGAATTGACACAATACCCTTTGAGATGCCCCACTGGAGGCACTCACTCAGTTATGCCAAGAGATTTGGAAGACAGCTACCTGGCCAACAGAGATCCATATCTGGACCCATTACAAAGGAAAGTGATCCCAAAAAATGTGGAAATTATCAAACAATATCATTAATATCACATGCAAGTAAAATTTTACTAAAGATAATTAAGAAATGGTTGCAGCAGTGTATTGAGAGCTTCCAGAAATGCAAGCTGGATTCAGAAGAGGACATGGAACAAGGGATATCATTGCTAATGTCAGATGGATCTTGGCTGAAAGCAAAGAATACCAGAAAGATGTTTACTTGTGTTTTATTGACTGTGCAAAAGCATTCAATTGTGTGCATCATAACAAATTGTGGATAACATTGAGAAGAATGGGAGTTCCAGAACACTAAATTGTACTCATAAGGAACCTGTATGTAGACCAGGAGGCCTTTGTTCCAACAGAAGGAGGGAACACTGCATGATTTAAAATCAAGAAGGGAGTGAGTCAGGGTTGTATTCTTTCATCATACTTATTCAATCTGTATTCTGAGCAAATAATCCAAGAAGCTGAAGTATATGAAGAAGAACGTGACATCAGGATTGGAGTAAGAGTCATTTACAACCTGGGATACACTGATCACACAATTTTCCTTGCTGAAAGTGAAGATGATTTGAAGCACTTACTGATGAAGATTGAAGACTGCAGTCTGCAATATGGATTACACCTCAACATAAAGAAAACAAAAATCCTCACAACTGGACCAATAAGCAGCATCACGATAAATGGAGTGAAGATTGAAGTTGTCAAAGACTTCATATTACTTGGTTCTACAATCAACACCAATGGAAGCAGCAAGCAAGATGTCAGATGATGTATGTTGTTGTTATGTGCTGTCGAGTCGGCCCCGACTCATAGCGACCCCTCCTTGGGTTTCCGAGGCAGTATCACTACGGAAGTAGATTGCCCAACTTTCCTTCCGAGGAGGGGCTGGTGGGTTTGAACCACCAGATGATGTATAGCACTGGGCAAATCGGCTGTGAAGGACCTCTTTCAAGTGCTGAAGAGCAAAGACATCTCCTTGAAGACTAAGGTGCACCTGACACAAGCCATGGTATTTTCAAGCACTTCATATGCATGTGAGAGCTGGACAATGAATAAAGAAGACCAAAGAAGAGTTGATGCTTTTGAGTTGTGGTGTTGGCAAAGAATGCTGAAAGTACCATGGACTGCTAAAAGAACTAACAAATCTGTCCTGGACTAAGTGCAGCTAGAATGCTCCTTGGAAGCAAGAACGGCCAGACTTCGTCTCACTTACTTTGGTCATGTTGTCAAAAGGGACCATTCCCTGGAGAAAGATGTCATGCTTGGTAAGGTGGAGGGTCAACGAAAGAGGGAAAGGCCCTCAACAAGATGGAATGACACTGGCTGCAACGATGGGCTCAGGTATAGCAGGGATTGTGGGGCTGGTGCGGGATCGGGCAGTGTTTTGTTCTGCTGTGCATGGGGTTGCTATGAGTTGGAGACGACTCAATGGCACCCAACAACAACAACAACAGCCTTGTCCATGGAACACAAAGTTGAAATAGCAGATCTTTACTATACATATTTGTACCACAGAAAACGTATTTAAAAAATTCATGAGTGAGTAAAGGGAGAGCCATTGAAAAGTTTAAGGAGGAAGGAAAGGGTATGAAACACCTCTGTCAGAGAGTGGTGGGTGAATCTCCCAGGGAATTGCAGTGGAAATTGAGTGTCCCTTGGTCATGGATTGGAAGTGAACCAGTCAGTCAGGGTAAGAGACTTTCTCCAGAAGCATTCAGGTGGTCTGAGGGAGGGGTGGAGGGGTCAGTGGTGGGGCTGCAGTAGATGCTATAGGATGGTGGTGGAGGAGAGCTGGGCAGATTTGGAGGGACAGTACAGGGTGGTGGGTAATGATGACATTTACAGGGAGTGAAGAGTGGGAGCCAAGTCCTGACACGTTCTCCATCTTTGACTCTAGGAGACAACGGCCTAGAGACCACTAGAAGCTCAAGCACCTTCTCTCAGAGAATGGGAGGTGGAAGGGGTTGTGCCAAGGGTGGAGGCAGGCTTTGTGGTCATGTGGTCAGGCCTGGCCAGTGCAATGGGGCTAATGGCACCCTCACCCTGTGTGGCTGGGGTAAAGATTACTGCTACTGCTGTTCACTGCCGTAAAGCCTATTCCTACTCATAGCGACCCTCGTTGGGTTTCCAAGGCTGTAACTCTTTAAGGAAGCAGGCTGCCCCATCTTTCTTCTACAGAGCAGCTAGTGGGTTCACTGACCTATGGTTAGCCGCCAAATGCCTTAACCACTACACCACCAGAGCTCCTTGGGTGAAGACTAGAGATGTGCTCTCCATAAGCATCAGTTTACTTCACCCCTACAAACACGCTGGGATAGGTGTTCAAGTGACATGTCACAGCTAAGGAAAATAAGTCCCCAAGAAGTTAAATGATGGGGTGGTGCAAATGGTTAAGCCCTGGACTACTAACTGGAAGTTGGCAGTTCAAATCTACCCAGGGGGACCTGGAAAGACAGACCGGGTGCTTCTGAAGGGTCACAGTCTTGAAACCCATGGAGCAGTTCTCCCCTGCACACATGGGCTCGCCGTGCATCGGAGGGACTGGATGCAACTAACAGCAAGGTCACACAGCAGAAGCGTCAGCCTCAGGACTTGACCAGGTGGCCTGAGCTCGCCTGTGCTCTGAAGCTTTCCACCACCCAGCCTCCCAGGAGACCTGCCTTATAACCAAACCCAAACCAAACCTGTGGCCATCCTGTGGATTCCAACTCATAGTGACCCTGTGTGTCGGAACAGAGCTGCCGCCATGGGTTTTCAATGGCTGTGATGTTTCTGAAGTATGTTTGCAAGCCTTTTTCCTGGGGCCCCTCTGGGTATAATCAAACCGACAACCTTGGTTTAGCAGCCGAGCACTTAACCCTCTGTGCCACCCAGAGACTCCTGCCTTGTAACGGGCTATTTTTAGGATGTCCCCTAATTCTGGGGGAGATGGAGTGCTACTTCCTTGGGTCTTTTCCAGCTGGCTGGCCCAGGCCTTCCTCTGCTCCAGTGACCCCAGCTCCAGGCCAGCTGAGGTCACTGCAGCTCAGCTTTGAGTCACAGCATCTCCTGCCTCCCCCACCCCTCCTGCTGCAAACTGCCCAGGCTCCTCTGAGAAGCCCACACCCCTCAGGAGAAGAAGCAGCTCTCTCTTTTCTGGAGCCTTAAGGTGCGTGGGGAGTGGGATGGGGTCTCCCATGGAGCCTTTAGTCCCTGTGGGACTTGAGGAAGGGGACTTCTGAATTGTTGGTCTTTATGACAAAGGGAGACTGATTTGGCAGCGTTCACAACTCCGCCCTCCATGTCCCTCCTCCTTATGAGCTTGGGGCCCCATCCCCAGTCCCCAACCACCCGACCGCCCTCTGCTTCCCAGATGCCAGATGAGAGATGGATTTCCCAGCCTTGTGGGCCACGTGGACAGCTGTCCTTACTTCCTCCCTTTGACCCCACTACCCAGGCCAGCGCTCAGGAGCTAGCAAACAGGGCTGGGGCTTCGACTAGCAAGGAGGCCTTGGCATGCGGGCCAAGCCTGGGGCTGCTGGGGTATGCAGGGGTGGTGAGTGGAGCTCGGGAAAGCAATACAGACAGAGAGGAGGAGTTGACGAGTGAGCCCAAGATTTCTAAGACAGGAGTGCTGTCAATGTTACTACTTACCCTGTGCTGGCCACCACCCTAAATTCTTTAGATATAATCTCTCTTAACCCTCTCGACAAGGCGCTCTGGTGGCACAGTAGTTAAGGTGTTGGGCGTCTAACCAAAAGTGTGTGGTTTGAGCCTATCAGCCACTCCACTGGTCAGCTATGGGGGTCAATGAGTCAGAATCAACTTGATAGCAGTGGGTTTGGTTTTTTGGTTAATGCTCACTGCACGTCTATAAAGTAGACATTGTGACCCCTAGTTTACAAAAAGGGAAACAGGCTGTGAGAAGTTAAATGTTTGCCTCAAGACACAGAGGATTGGTGAGCAGGGATTTGAACCCAGATCCCTCTGACACCAATCTTTGCAGCAGTACTGTTTCCCTAGTAAACAGTGGAGGAGAAAAAAAAGGTGAGCTGAGAATGCCAGGGCCCATGGGGTAACCCAAAGGGGCAGGGAGACCAGCTGTTCCCCAGCCTGAGAGTGATGGATTGGTGATTTGTCTTTTCAGGGTGTCTTTTCAATGGCATAAGAAACACGGCCCCCACTGCCACCCAGCTTCCTGTGGGGCTGGGGCTGACCCCGGGCCGCTTTGAGCTGAGCTGGGGTCAGAGGGCCCGGAGCTGCTCAGGGACCCATCTCTGGGCAGGCGCCACGGCCGGCCGGCTGACAGATGCCAGGCGCCCTCCCTGAACAAAGACTGGGTGGGAGGTGGCCTGGTGTCTCACACCCCGCCTCCCCTGGACCCGCCAAGCCGCGAGGACAGAGGAGCATGGCCGGGTGTGGGGCCACCCTGCTGCCGCTTGTCCTGCAGCTCGTAAGCCTGGCACTGGCCGCGGAGCCGGGTGGGGGTAAGTGGGGCTCCAGGGCTTATCCCCACCTCTTGCTCAAGGAAGAGGCTGGCGGTGCCTCCTTGTTGAAACCCTGCTTTGGGCGCCCCTCAGGCCGGCCTCAGCCCACCCCGATGGTGGATCAGATGGCTGGGAATCTAGAGGCCAAGACAGGGGACCCGGGAGAGGGGGGGTGCTTCCTGCTCTGGCCTTGGGAGGAATTCCTCCAGGCGGCAATGGGGGAGAGACTGTTCTAGAGTCTGGGAGTCTGAAGTTAATTATTTCTCGAGAAAGAGGAAAAAAGAGGAGGCCGTGTTGGGAGCTGACTTTGAGTCTCGTGTCTGGCTCTCTCCCAGGACAGGCAGGAACTGGGATGTCAGGGCAAGAATAGGGTGTGGGGGGGAGTGACAGGAATGAGGACAGTCCCTGGGGGGCCATGGGGCCTGTGCCACCCTCACAGCTCTTCCTGCAGGTCTCCCAGGCAAGGGACTGCTCCTGTCTTCCTCCAGGGTCCCAGAGGACCCCCAGCTTCTCCCTGACCCCTTTGTTGTGTCTGATCCTCCTACTGCTGCTTAAGCAGGACTGGAAGAGTGGCCTGGGGTGAGGCGGGATCCTGAGGGGTGGACGGTGAGACCAGATGCGAAGCAAGCTTGTGTGGAGGGTCAAGGTGCTGAGCCCCCATCCTTGGTGGCCCTTCAGCAGGTCGGGAAGAGATTCCAGGACCACGTGCCATCTTGAGGGAGTAGGTTTCTGTGCAGAGATGAAACCCCCACAGGAGTTCAGGCATCCGTATGTTTGGGGCATTAGGGCACCAGGAGGGGGCTGTAGCAGGCATGCTGGCAGATAGATGGCCCTCGTGCAGGGTCACATTGGGACTTGCGCTGGGGACCCTCAGATGTGTGATTCAGAAAGGCTCTCAGGGCAGAGGAGCAGAGGGAAGTCTGGGAGATTTGCCTCCAAGTGAAGGCAGGGTGGGGAGGGGGATGGATCGTCTACAACTGGGGGACTTCAGTGACTGATGGCATTTGGGGGTACCTAAGAAGGAGGCTGAGTCCCAGATTTCTGGCTGGGGCAACTGGGTGAAAGGGGATGGCTAACTCCAGTCCAGAGAACTCTGAGCAAAGCAGGTGTGCAAGGAAGATAAGATAGGCTTTGTCTGGAGTCCACCCCCTTGGGGATGACAGAGGAGTAGTGGTGGGAGACACTGTCCTGCTCCTTATAGGCCTGGTGTTCCTGGGAAACCCTTCTGGCCAGCCCTGGCCCTGCCTCACTGAGCTGCCCCTCCCTTCCTCCTCTAGACCCTCTGCTGCCCGCCTACCCCCACTAGAGTGATTGACATCTGTGGGGACCATCACCTCCGGTCAACCTATTCTCTCCTGCTTTTACTTTCCTGAAAGGAATTCCGGTGATTCAATGGTTAAACATTTGACTGCTAACCAAAAGGTTGGCAGTTTGAACCCAATGGCCCTTCCATGGGAGGAAGATGCAGCAGTCTGCTTCCTTGGATACCCTATGGGGCAGTTCTCCTCTGTCCGACGGGGTTGCTATGAGACTTGATGGCAACGTATTGTCTGCTTTCCTGACTGTGGGAAAGGGGTTAAAGTGAGAAGATGAGTGATGGTGCCTCACCCCTCAGCCTGAACTTGAACTCAGAGTCACCCTCTTCCCTTGACATGGTGTCATCCAAAGCTATGTGGATGCCCTGCCCAGGCCCTCCAACACGGGGTCCCCAGGACCCTCTGCCACAGGGGTGGGAGCAGGGGAATAGTTACTCCTCCCGGTGCACTTACTCTGACGGGGCAGTGTCTACTCACAGGCTCCCTGAAAAGACCCTCACGCCAGCCCCCAGAGACCTTAAAGCCACCCTGCCCTCCATGCACCTATCACCCTGCCCTGCAGTCAGCCACCCAGAGTGAGGGTGGTTAGCCTGACTCCTCACTACCATGGCTGAGGGCCCCTGCAGAGTCAGGAAGGCTGGGTCCTCTCCCATACTCCCACCCCCATCAGCAGGTCAGAGGGTCCTAGGACAGCACTGGGGCTCACACAGGACCAGGAGGGAAAATGGCGTGGGTCCCTTTTGTCAGCTCAAAGTTCCTTCCTCCTCCTCCTCTCATGCCTCTGCCCCGCCTTCACTCAGCACCCTCAGGGACTGAGTCTCCTTCCTTGGATGGTAGGTGGACAAGTGACAGGGTGGGCACAAGATGGCCCTCCTCCCCCAGCGGCTCAGAGGACAGAACCCAGGGACCCTCACTAGCTCCTCGCCCACAGGACCACCTGGATTCTTGTGCCTTTTAGGTGGGGCCCTCTCCACGGAGCCCCCCAGGCTTGCCGACACCCATGACTACCAGCAGCAGGCGCCCGCCCACTCCTCAGCCCGGCCCCCTCAGGAGCAGTGGCGTCCCCTGGAGGAGCGGCTGAGCCGGCTGGAGACTGAGGTGGTGGAGCTCCGAGAGCAGGTGCCATTGGAGGCAGGGGGGGTGCGTGGGGTCCCGGGACTTTGTGCAGGCGGGGAAAGAAGAGAAGGGGACTAGGGAGCCCCAAATCGAGTCTTGTCAGTGTGCTCAGAGAGGTTCTTACAGGAACAGGTCTCAACACTGGTTCTTTCACACGAGTGAAGGCCCTCACCCCAGGGAATTGGTTTGGTCAGCCCAGATTTTCATATTCTTTCACGCAGCTGGCAAACATTACGGAGCCCCTACTGTATGTAAGAGTGGCTCATGCAGTTCAGTGCTTGGCAGCTGCTAACCAAAAGGTCAGCAGTTCGAGTCCACCGGAAGGTGACTCGGAAGACAGGCTTGACAAAAACTCGGCCGTTGACAACCCCGCTCTGAGCCACAGGGGCTCACCTTGAGCGCTGGCGATGGTTTGGGTTTGACTGTTTATAAGTCTGGATGAGCAAAGTGAGTTGTCTAACTGTTGGAGGAATGAGTGTCCATTCTATGCAAAGGATGCCTAAGCCCCATGCGCCCCAAGATCCTGCCCAGACCCGTGCCCTGGGGATTACCTCTCTCTCCGAGCTGATGCTGATGGCGGGGACCCCCTCTGCTCTGGGACCATCACGTGTGCTTCCCCATCCCACAGGCCCACGGGAGGTAGTGGGGGAAGCTGGGCCAGCCAGTCTCCTCCCTCCTTCCTACAGAACAAGGACCTGCAGGCCAGGGTGAGGCAGCTGGAGGCCTGTGAGTGCCGCCCAGCTGCCCCTCAGTGCTGGGCTCTGGGCCGGGCCTGGCCCGAGGGGGCCCGCTGGGAGCCCGATGCCTGCACAGTCTGCATCTGCCAGGACGGGGCCACGCGCTGTGGTCCCCAGCCTGGCCTTCCCCAGTGCCATGGTGAGTGCTACCCACCTGCCCGCAAGGCTGCCTGGGGGCCTGGACATAGCCCTGGGTTCCCCCAGTAGCAGCACTTTCTCCGCAGGCTGCAGCTACAATGATCGGGCCTATGGCAACGGGGAGACCTTTTCCCCAGATCCTTGCACCACCTGCCACTGCCAGGTGAGTGCCTGTGACCCACTTGGAGGTCCTACACCTGTCCCCCTCACCTGTCTGACTCACTTCACTACCGTTCCTCCAGCCTGGTGTGTTGAATGTTATGTCCTGGGTTCTGGCTTTCCTCCCAAACCTGGCCACTGGTGGTCTTCAGCTGACTCCTCCTAGTTCTGTTTTCTGGAGGTCAACCCCCCAAAACAGTGGTACCCCCTCTGGACCCCTAGGATTTGGACCTGGCAGACAGTGGCATGGAGGATACTCACTCGTCTTCCTACATCACCCCACTTACCTGTGTGGACTTTCTTTCTCACTCCTCCATGGAGGAAGGCCCTCCTCCCTCCCTTCCCAGATCTCTCCACCCTGGAGAATTTGCTGGCTTACAGGGGCAAGAACAACAACAGAAGATGGGGTGTGGGCAGGCATCCCTCTTCTGCCTGGCACCCACGCACCCCATGCCAGCTCATCTCTTGACCCTCTGACGCGGCCTGGGCCTGGGGTAGGGTTTGGTTCCAGAGCCCCACCCCGTGCAGCCACCAGTGTGCTTCTCCACAGGACAGGGCAGTAACCTGTACACAGAAGCCATGCCCAAGCGGACCTTGCCACGAACTGGGAACATGCTGCCCACACTGTGAGCCAGGTCAGCTCCTGCAGGCCCCGGGGCACCCCAGAGCCCTGGTTCTGCCACCTGAGTGTGAGCAGGCGTGGGTGACCTGCCCACTCACTTGGACTTCATCTAGTGAAGTTCGAAGCGAAGCACAAGTCAGCAGACACTGACTGTGTCTGGGACTGGTCAGAGGCTCTAAGGGACATAGACACGTGGTCTGCTTTTAATCTAGTTGAGAAGATATGTTTATCGCTAATCTAGTACCAGATTTATCAAGAGGAGATGTGGAAAGACAGCGTGTGGTTAGTCACCAGAGGAAGGGGAAGGGTAGCCCTTTGTAAATAGAAAAGTCACCTATCACCAGAATGGCACCCGTGAGGTGGCTCCCCACACTGTTCTTCTGCCCCAGTCTCTGAGTCTCTTACTTGGGGCCTTGACCTTGAATTTGCAGGCTGCCCTGGGGGCTATGGGGCTGGGAAAACATGGCATCCAGAGCCCTGTGTCACCTGCACTTGCCAGGTAAGGGAATCAGAGCCTGGGCCCAGCTACCACCCATGTCCCTGCTGCTTGGCACGCCCCAGGACTAGCAGCGCCAAGCCCAATTGGGGAGGCAGGCAGGGCTGCTACTGCTGCCTGGGCATCAGGGCCTGAGCCTGTTCCACCTCCCAGGCTGGCAGAGCGACCCAACTCGGGCAGTGTAGGGGGAGGGAGGGCTCAATGTCTGCCCCGCAGGCAGGGACCGTGAGGTGCCAGAGGCCATCTTGCCCAGAGCTCAACTGCCTGGAGAGCTACACTCTGCCTGGAGAGTGCTGCCCTGTCTGCCGGCCAGGTGACCTCCCGCCCTGCCCTGCCCTCCACCTGTCCCAGCCCCAAAGGGTCAGGACCTATGTGGGGTCGTGCCTCCCCTAGGGTAATGTTCCCCCACCCTACTCTTTGGTGACACAACTGTCATCCTGACACCCCCCTCCCCCAGGCTGTGAGTACGAGGGGAAGCTTTATGACGAGGGGTCCAATTTCCTGTCCAGCTCCAACCCTTGTCTCCGATGCTCCTGCCTGGTGAGACTCCCCACCTGTGCTCAGGCCCTGCTCCTCCGTGGACCCCGTGTCCCCTGGGCCATGCCTGCCACTCTTTCTGCCCCATCACATGCCTTTCTGGGGCCCAGCAAGGGTCTCCCTCCATCCCTGCCCTGTGCCCCGCCCCCCACCAAGGGCACCTTGCATCTGCACACCCTGTCCTCCCTGGGAGCAGACCCGGAGGCATTCCAGCTGCTGGTGCTTTACAGAGGAGCCTGGTTCACTGTGTGCCCATGAAATGCCCACCCAGCCCCTGCCCTGAGCCAGTCCTGAGGCCTGGGCACTGCTGCCCCATCTGCCAAGGTGAGAGCCCCTGACCCTTCCCTATGGACTCCTGGCGGGGCTGTCACACCTGGTCCTTGAACTCCGGGGCTCAGCCTGCTGGCCTCCGGGCTGTGGCCCAGTCAGTGGGTGAGTGATGCCCAGCCAGGCCTGCTCTGGACCCGGATGTCGGCGCTCCAATTCCGCCGGTATCACGTGCCAGTTGTTTGACTCTCAGTAAGTTACTCCGTGCTTTCGCTTCCCCATCCGTGAGGTGTAAATGATGATATGATGTGCTTCATAGAGCTGCTCGGTAGGTGCTTAGTGAAAGGTTGCAGGTTCAAGTCCATTGAGAGGTTCCATGGAAGACAGGCCTGGCCACCTCCTTCTGAACCATCAGCCACTGAAGCCTACAGAGCCCAGTTCTACTCTGATACACGTGGGACTAGTGAGTGGGAGTCGGCTTGATGGTGACTCAATGGTCAGTTGGATGGTTATGGTTCAGACACTTGAAACACATCTGCCAGGGGCCCGCCCTCAAGGTGACTGATGGGGGGTATGACAGGCACACGACCCGCGTTGTAAGGTAATGCCACAGAGGCGGTTGTAGAAGTAGCCACCAGGTACTATGGAAACTCAGAGGAAGGGGACCTAGTCCAGCCTGGGCACATGAGGGAATGCTTCCTGGGGGTCGTGTCTCTTAGGGTGAGCCTTCAGGATAGGTGGGATTTATTTATTTTTAATTTTATTTTGATTTGGATGCAAGTTTACAGAGCAAATTCCTGTTCCATACAGCAGTTCATACACATTGCTTTGTGACAGTGACTGCAATTCAGCTGTCTTCCCACTTCCTCCCTGAAGTTACCTCTTCCCTGTGTCCTTCTTTCCTATGCATTTCTGCCCCCTGAACTATCTCCCTGGGCAAATACTGCCCTTCTGTTCTCTCATGATTATTTGTTCTAAGGAGTGTATCTACCTGATGCAAATGTTCACCCTATATGCCTGTCTAATGTTTGGCTGGAAACCATGGGAGTGAATTCAATTCCAGACCTGAAGGGTGATTAGGGTCTCACCAGGCTCACCAGGCTCTACCAGACCAGTAAACCTGGTCTTTTTTATGGTTTTTGATTTGTTCCACATTGTTCTCCCACCCTGTCCAGGAACTCCTGTATTGATCCCTTTCCGAGTGGTTGACAGTGGTAGTTGGGCACCATGCAGTTCTTCTGGTCTCATGGTCATATAGGCTGAGGTTCACATGGTCCACTAGTCTCCTGGACTAATTGTTTCCATGCACCTTTGGTTTTCTTTGCTCTGGATGAGACCCACTGTTGCATCTAGATGGCCCCTTGCAAGCTTTTAAGACCCCAGTTGCTACTCACCAAAGTAGGATGTAGAACAACGTTTTCATGTAGTATGTTATGCCAATTGAGTTTGATGTCCCCTACGACCATGGTCCTGACCCCACAGGTCCAACAACTCACTCAATCAGGGTTGTTGATTGTGCCTAAGAAGTTAAAACTTTGCCCCTGTTAGTTCTAGTTATACCGACATTCTTATAGCACATACAAATATATATGCAGAAACACTGTCTGCCAACCTCGTATGTGGTCATGGGTATACTCCCTTTAGCTTAGACATACCTGATCATCCAGCCTGTCTATTCAGATGGATGAGATTTAGCTGCATGAAAGACTGGGAAGGAAGCCAACATCCCTGGATGCTGAGCGGACAGTGTGAGAAAAGGCTTGGAATCGACACTCAGTGTGAGGAGTGTGTGTGTTAGGTGGGGCAGGTGCAAGCAGGCATGAATGGTCAAAGCTTAAAGGAGAGGTGAGGACAAGCCAGAGGTAGGGGAGGTGGGGTTGGCTGTGCAGGGCACAGAGGGCCTTGAAGGGCAGGCTAAGGAGTTTGGGCTTTGCCCTGCTTGGGGCAGTAGGGAGCCACTGAGTGGCCTAGAGGCATGGCCTGGTATGGTCTAGGCTCAGGAGAGAGACTGGGAGGGCATGTGGAGGGCTGGAGGCAGGCTGAGCCTGGGGTCCAGGCTGGCTCCCGCCAACCTCCTCTCTGACCTGTCCCCAGGCTGCACGGAAGGTGGCATTCACCAGGAGCATGGCCAAGAGTGGACCCCACCTGGGCACCCCTGCCAGATCTGCAAATGCCTGGTGAGTCCACCTGCTCTCCCTGCCCACCATATCCACCCCTCCATTCCATCTATGGAGCTCCGGTAGCGTAGTGCCTAAGGCACTTGACTGCTAACCAGAAGGCTGGCAGTTCAAACCCACCAGCCACTCCTCGGAAGGAAGATGGGGCAATCTACTTCCGTAGTGATACTGCCTCGGAAACCCAAGGAGGGGTCGCTATGAGTCGAGTCCTACTCGATGGCACATAACAACAACAACAACATTCCATTTATGGAGCAAATTCCACGGGTGCTATGCAGGGACAGAGGGGAAGCCCTAGTCGTGGGCACTGTGAGCAGGGACTGGCTCAGGCTCACCTGTGTCCTGTGGGCTGAGCACGGGCTTGGGACCTGAACTCACGGGCTGAGAGGAGAAACGAACAGGGTAGAATAGGATGATTGGCCAAGGCTCCAGGGAGCGAGAAATGCAATTGACCTGAAGCAGTTAGACCTCGCTGTCCAGCTTGGTGGCCAGCACTCCATGAGGCTCCCAAAGGTGCTGGAAACATGGCTGGGCCAACTGAGATGTGCAGTATGTACAAATACACACGGGACTGTGAAGACACAGTATGAGAGCAAGCAATGGAGGGTAGCTCATTGATAGCTGTTTATATTGATGACACGTCAAGATGATGATCTTTTGGGTATATTGGGTTAAATGGAATATATTTAAATGAATTTCATGTTTCCTTTTCTTTTTAAAAAATTGACTACTAGAAATCCAAGTCCATTGCCATGGAGTCAGCTCCCACTCATGGCGACGCTGTGTGTTACGGAGTAGAACCGGGGGGTTATCTTGGCTGAGAGTTTACTTCATACGTGGCTTGCTGATCTCTCTAGTGGGCAGCGCAGATCTAGAGAGTCAGCATGGAGGAGGGTTGGATGTAGGCCTTAAAGGGCCAGTTGACTCTCAGCAGGGAGAAGAGGGGAAGATGCTCTGGGTACCGGGAATGGTAGGGGCAAAGCCTGGGGAAGAAGGTGGGAACGCATAGGCCTGACGTGTGAGGAGGGCCGCGTTTCATGGGGACTGAAGCTAGAGCCGCAGAGCTACCTGACCGCCTGTAAAAGACTAGGGACATGGCTGGGAAGGCTGCTATAACCACGCCCCTGTTCATGCTGACCACACCCCTTCTCCCACCTCATCTGCTCAGGAAGAGAAAGACGCTTATGAACCTGGGAGCAGTGAGCCCAGGGATATAGGAGACACCACAGGCGTGAACGTGGCAGGAGGTGGGGGCCAGGGGTCTCTTTGGGAAAGGCCGTGGAGGAGGACCAGCAGGTACTGGTCGCTGAGTATCAGATGCCA